ACAAGTACTGTTTTGGAATATCTAAAAGCTTTATTTCTTTAAAATATTCAATAAAAAAACCTGGCCCTTACTACAATTCTAGATGGCTAACATTAACTTTGCAGGTTTATTAAGGAAAGGAATTCTACTGATGAATTGTGAATAAATACAAATTATATTGTTCTAGTATACTGACCCATATGATTTTCACATAAAATGGCTGTCCTTCCTTCATAAGACAATAAATAATAAATTGTTTTTAAAATCTTCAAAGAAACTCTTATTATTGGTATCTTTAAGAAAACATTCTTTACACTATTTTTCAGAATGATGTATAAGATAAAAAAGGCTCATGCTATCAAGCAAATTCTTGATAATAAACATGAGACATTTAAAAGAAGTTTTATAAATTTATTAGAAGTAAATCCTGAAGTCGAATATTCTTAATCTCTATAAATCTCAAATCCGTCCTTGTATGGAATACTGTTGCCATATCTAGGGTGGATCTTCCAACGATATCCTTTCTCTTTTAGACAAGGTGCAAAAATGCATTGTAAAAATAGTTGGACCTGTCCTTGCAGCCAACCTCAAATGTTAAATTGTATTTAGTAAATTCCATTTACCATTTACTAGTAAATAGTAAATGGTATTTACTAAATACCATTTTTGTTAGTTCGTTAATAAATTAATATAATAATTAAACATTATATGAAAATTATGTTTAAAAAGTTTTTAATTTATAGCCTTTTTATTTATTTTATTTAGATCATAAACTGTATAAAATATTGTTCCAAAAGCAAATTTTGGTAAAGTGATAAAAATTAAATACAATATATCCATTATAAGCTTGCACAGTTGTCCAAAAATGAGTCCTAACCTCTGTGGAAATGACTCAAAAAAAACCCTTGGAGGGGTGATTCTATAGGTTATGGTGATCACTTTAAAACAAAAATTAAAATCTTTTAATTACATCCGCAGGAGAAAATTGCATCTAAAGTTTTTGTCTAATTTACACTAAGAAACTTAATTTTCAAAATGCGTTTCCACTGCTAAAAGTCACTAAAAAAAACCTTTTGTTTTGTCTTAAATGTTGCAAATATCTCTTAACAACATTGTATTAACCTATTATTTAACTTTTTTTTCGTTTAATAAAAATTCAAATTTTAAGGCAATAAAATTGAATTATGTTGGCTCCAAAATTTTGCCGCTGAAATAATGTAAACAAATAATTTTATGTTAAAAATTAATTTTTCTTTTTCGAAAATTGTCTAATTCAGCAAAAACTCATGGTGATTGCAGAAAATCCGTTTGCTTTTTATGTTTGAAGAAAAGTGATAGCATATTAACTGATTTTTTGATTGAAAGAGTCAAGAATATTGTTAATAAAAAAGACGTTTAAAAAATTTTATTTAATAAAGAAGACATTTAAAATGTCTTTAAGATTCTTAGAAGGTTTATAAATATAGCTTCTTTTTTTTATTTTTATAATTTAAAAAAATGGAAAGATAATATCAAAACCTTTTTTTATTCTGTCAAATGATACCATTTTCAAAAATGTTTGGCAACAAATTTAAAAGTATATACTAATCCACAACTACATTGGCCAAATATTGGCTACGGTATAAATGTAAGAACAGATTTTTATGGCAAAATATTAAGCCTAAACTACATTGGCCAAATGTTGGCCCAACATAGTACGATAATTGCAAAAAACCGAATTGTAGAATCGGAATATTACGTCGAAAAAAAAACATTGGCTAAATGTTGGCCCAATATAGTATGATTATTGCAAAAAAAGGATTTGCAGAATTGAAAATAATGCGTTGAAAAAAAACATTGGCTAAATGTTGGCCCAACGGAATAAACTTGCCAATGTTAAAACTTACGTTGGGCCAATGTAAGCTTGTTGTCTGGGAAATACATATATATATATATATATATATATATATATATATATATATATATATATATATATATATATATATATATATATATATATATATATACATATATATATATACATATATATATATACATATATATATATATATATATATATATATGTGTATATATATGTATATATATATATATATATATATATATATATATATATATATATATATATATATATATATATATATATATATGTATATATATATGTGTATATATATATATGTGTATATATATATATATATATATATATATATATATATTGTTGTTTTATTGTACCAAATTAAGATACAAAAATCTCTTGTTCGTTTGAGAGTGATCAATATAATGTAAGTGTTTACAAAATAGATCAATAATAATAATAATAGAGTTTGATTATTTGAAAAAATACAACTTTTTGATGGTACTTGAAGTTTCATGCCCTTCGGCAATCATCAGCCATATTTTATTCTTTTAAAACAAGAAAAACCGTTAAAAAATACAAAATACAAAAATTAACAGAAAAAACAATAACAAAGCAATAGAATGAGTTCTGACGTCAAAACAAAATTTTTAATTAGAAAATTGTTTAATCAGCCGTGTCGAAGTGGGCGAGAAGAAACTTGTTTCGATATGGATGATATCCAAATGCAGGCATCGAAACAAGTTTCTTCTCGCCCACTTCGACACGGCTGATTAAACAATTTTCTAATTAAAAATTTTGTTTTGACGTCAGAACTCATTCTATTGCTTTGTTATTGTTTTTTCTGTTAATTTTTGTATTTTGTATTTTTTAACGGTTTTTCTTGTTTTAAAAGAATAAAATATGGCTGATGATTGCCGAAGGGCATGAAACTTCAAGTACCATCAAAAAGTTGTATTTTTTCAAATAATCAAACTCTATTATTATTATATATATATATATATATATATATATATATATATATATATATATATATATATATATATATATATATATATATATATATATATATATATATATATATATATATATATATATATATAAGTTAGTAGAAAATCACTTAGCAAAATTTTTTCTCATTTAACACTGTTTTTCATCAATAAAGACTCATCAGAAAAAATTTTTTTTTCTGATTTTTCATCAGAATTTTTTTTTTTTTTGTTTTTCTGATGAGTCTTTATTGATGAAACACAGTGTTAAATGAGAAAAAATTTTGCTAAGTGATTTTCAACTAATTTATAATTGCTCTGTTCTTTTAAGAACATTGAGCACTCTTTTTGTAGAATACATTTTAAATTGTTTAAATATATATATATATATATATATATTTTTTTTTTTGTAGAATACATTTTAAATTGTTTAAATATATATATATATATATATATATATATATATATATATATATATATATATATATATATATATATATATATATATATATATATATATATATATATATATATATATATATATGTATGTATATGTATATATATATATGTATATATACATATATATATATATATATATATATATATATATATATATATATATGTATGTATGTATATGTATGTATGTATATGTATATATATATGTATATATACATATATATATATATATATATATATATATATATATATATATATATATATATATATATATATATATATATATATATATATGTATATATATATATATATATATATATATATATATATATATATATATATATATATATATATATATATATATGTATGTATGAATTTTAAATATTAAAATATTAAATTTGTAAATATTATTATTTCAGCACCACGCTTTAGCATTCAGTGACTTGCAAAAAACCATGGAAACAACCAGATCTCATCTACAAAATTCTCTTCGTACCAAAGAATCTGAAGTAAGTAATCTCACTGCTCAATTTAAAAACCTTGAAGATCGATATAACCAAAGTTTGTTAGAGTTGGAGCATTATCAAGGACTGCTTGCAGCCACTAGGGATAAAGCTCTAAAGGATAAAGAAAATTTTAAAAAAGCTGCACACTCACAGCGTGAACGAGCATACAAAAATGAAGAGGAAAATAAACAGTTGCATGAAGATATATCTAATGCTGTTTCAGAGCTTGAGTCTGCAAAAGTTACATTAGAACAACTAACAAAGATAAACTGTGAATTGAAAAACGAGAGAAACAATCTTTATGATGAAGTTCAATCCTTCAAGAAGAGCATATTAGATTTAGGTAATATAATGGAATTATCATCAAAGTCCATTCACTCTGGTCCTACTTATGTGCTTAAAAAGTTACATTCAAAAATGACCAAGATGAAGTCGATAAAAGCTGAAAATGAAAAGTTGAAAGTAAGCTATACTATAAAAATAAAAAAATTAAAAACAAATTTGCATTTGTAATACTATTATATGAGAAGTTTTTTAGAGATAGATCACTTGGAAGCATAAACTAAGTATGAATGAGTTAAAATAAACTATATAACAAACTAATAATATATAGCTAATATGGTAATTGATTATATTGTTTTATATACATATATATATACACATATTTCTGTCTATAAAATTAATTGTAGAATATATCTTTAGAGCATTGTGATCTTGAAAAACAAGGAATTAGTTAATAGTCAATTGTATTTTAAACAATTAAAAAAGTTTGTTTTAAAATATTTTTTTGGCTAATGTATAAACAGTTATGTAAAGAAAAAAGTAAGGTAAACCTAACTTTTTATCCCCAGGTTTTGTTCCTAAACATTGGTTTAATATTTTTATTAAAAAAATAATACTAAAAAAAAATCCAAAGGTTTTTTGTCCTTTTTTCAAGAAATTCTTAATTTACAAAAAGATTTGTGTAAGAAGATTTTTTTTAAAAAGTCTTGAGTTTTTATTCTAATTATCATCTTTAATTTCATTTGTTTTTTAATTTTAATTATTTAGACGGGCCAAGTACTCAACATTATTTCCGAGTCTTACAAGTTTAATGAAAAAATAAATAAAATGAAGAAAAATATAAAATGTTTATATTAGCCAATGATAATTCTAGTTAATCAGTTATTTTTGTTAACTACACATTTTCAGGATGTAGTTTAGAACATGAAAGTTGTTATTGAGAAATAGTAATATGCAATTGAGAAACAAGATGTAAATTGGAAATCATATTATGTAATTGAGAATGCATAAATTGTAATAACAAATGCGTAATTTAGGATTATGTGTTATTATAAAAGGTCTTCTCAGATATGAATTCAAATAAGTTAATAATATCAAATTTAGTATTTGTATGCACCAGTTATAATAATGAAATCGGAAGGTTGTTGTGTTATATGTCAATGCACTATGACCCGTAAGTCTGATATTAAATTAAATCTATTTCAATATTTATTTCACCAAATTTATTTACATCCGCTTCTTAAACAACCAGATCCAACTTATCTTATTTGTTAAAAAGAAATACATACACTTGAACAAGTTGAAAGAAAGCATTACATTTTTAGTTCATCAAATGATGGAAGAAGAGTAGTTTAATGCGCCAAATATCAAGCTCATTTGGAAAGGATGTTTGAAAATTCATTAACTCAGTGGTACTCTGCAATCTAATGTTAAACAATGTGGAAGTAATCTGCTCCAATATTAAAAGTAACATAACAAAATTAAAAGTAACATTAAAAATGTTAATTTTAATTTTTTAATTTTAATGACATCTGAGTTTGTTACTGGAGTTTTGAAATAATAAATGCAATATTTAGAAAGTATTATAACTGCAGCAAAAAGTTTAATAATAGGAAGTGATTGTACATTAGGGTACGTTATAGTAGTTTTTTTTAGAAATTATAATTGGGATGTGGTTTGTAAAAATTACCAAAAGTTTTTAGCAAAACTTGTCTTTTTTTGAAAAGAAAAATTTGGTAAATTTGAGATAATCTATCGGCCCCCATTAAATTCAAAAGTTTATATAGTCATAACTTTCAAACACTAACAGATTATTAGATAAAATTTAAAATCTGTAGTAAAATGCTAAATATCATAATCGCTCATTGTCCTCACATTTAGGCAGGAAAGAATTTTTTTTGGTATTTTTGTTTCCATGGTTCAATACGGTGATGTTTTACAAAAAATTCTCATTTGAACTAAGTATGAACTATGTAAGTATAAAGTATTGTACAAATAAGTATTGTTTATACTTATGTCCAATGAGAAAAAAATAAGTATGAAGTTTGTCCGATGACTGAAAATGTCATAGGTGAAACATCAAAAACCCTGTGGACACCTATAGACAAATCTAATTCAAATAACTAGTTCTTGCCTAATTTACTAAGTTTTTTAATAGTGCAAAAACTATTTTTTTTATATAACCTATAAAGTATAGCATACCCTTGAACTGAACACTGCAGTTGTTTTTAATGATATTTTTTAAATTTAATTCAAATTTTTGTAAATAAAGATTTATGTTTTTTTTTCATCATTATTCAAATGAATTCTTAATTTACTAAGAAAAATGACATTAAAAGTTTGTGTGTAATAAAAAACTAATACGCGTTACCATAAAGTTTTGACTGATTAGGACAATGTCACTCAAATATTAGTTTATACAAAAGAGTTGTTACTAAACATTAAAAGCAGCAATAATAAACAATAAAAGTATAAAAAATAGTTTATGTTGTCATTATTATTTAACATTTACATAAGAATAATTAATAGAATAAAAGAATAAAATTTATAACCAAATTACTGATAAAAAAAAACTAATAAAAGAAAACTCAAAAAAGTGATAAAAGCTTTTTTTTTCAATTCAAGTTTGTAATTTTATTTAAAATATTTAAGGGTGTTTTGAAAGATCTTGATTCAATTTAAGTTTTTAATTTTATTTAAAATATTTAAGGTTGTTTTGAAAGATCTGGAAGCGCGAGTTAAAGCATCAGAAAAATCTGACAGCAAAAAGGTTTTATACTTTCAATACTTTCAATAGTTGTATTTTAACCTGTTTAGTTTAAATGATGATGATGATAACAATGATGATGATGACAATTTTTAATTTTTAAGCTTTATCTTGCTGAATCAGAGCTAAAGCAATTGCAAGATGCAGTAAATCAGTATGAAATACTAGCAAACGAGTACAAGTCACAGTTAGAAAATTCAAATGTTGAAATTGGTATTCTCAATAGGAAAATTGAATCAATGGAAAGAGAACATAAGCAGAAACTGCATGAAACAATGAATGACATTAATGAAGTAAATATTAATATTTGTTAAGAAAAGATTTCCTCTATACTTTTTTTGTACATCAACTGTTTTCATTTTTAAAATACTTATATTTTTTTACAACTATTTTTTGTTTATTTTTATTACCAGATAACTTTGGTATGTAAGCATGTGTTTATTTGTTTGGCATATTAAAAAAGCATAATTTTTTAATCTGAAAAAAAAAGGTCTGAATAAAGATTAATAAGATAGAAGATGTACCAAAAACATCATACAGATTAGGCACATAGATGAGTGTTTCATATATTAAGATATACGCATAGATGTAGAAAGGTATTTGAAACTATATGCAATATGGTATTGAAAAAATATAAGATATCTGTATGTAGATACACAACTGCTACTGCAGAAACTTGAATTGGTTTTTTAAACAATGAAACAATTTATTCATATTTAAATGAAGCTTTTGAATGTAAATTTTATGCTAATTAAATCCAGTACTCAAACTAAAACTTTTTATTTTGTGTAAACATGAATTTTTACTAATGGTTCTTTTAAATTTCGTAAAATTTACACTACAAATTTTTAAATAAGTTTAAATGGCTACGTGAAATTAAAACTGAAAGTCACTGTAGCCATTTTGCTTTGTGTTTTTTCAATAACTCCGTGGTGACATGTTTACAACACTGCACAAACTTGTTCGTTGGATTATGTTTGAATAAATGTTATCAAGCTTGATTAACCAATCAAATGTTTATGTTAATAATAAATTAAAATGACAATTTTATGACAGAAAAACTATTAATTTATTGGTCTATTATATTTAATAAACTTTTTCTCCTTCATTTAGTCCTAGTTCAGTGAAGGTTTAGACTCATAACACTACATAATTTTAATTTTTAGATGCAAAATGTTCTTCATAATAAAACTCTTGAAATGGCATCATACCCTGAACTGCTTAAGGTATTTTTATTAAGTATAAGTTTATAATATAAATTTAATAAATTTAATTAACAAAGATGGGCTGAAAAGTTTGTAGGTTAACATAGAAAAAGTTTCAAAGATTACTTCTTCAGCCTCAAAATAGGTCTCAGTTTCAGCAATTACCTCTTCCGGCACTAAATTTTATTCCAGTGAGCATTCTCTGCAAAAGTCTGTGAAAAGGAAAAAGTTGATGGGGGCCAGATCTGGAGATTACAGTGAATGGGGAAGTAATCAAAGTCCTATTAAAGCAAGTTTTCCATTGTTTTCATTGATTTGTGACACTGGGTAATGACTTGATGAAACAGCACTTTCTTATTCTTTAAATGGAGTTTTTTTTCTGCAATTTTGTCCATCGAATACTCTAATAACCCTATGTAATAGTTGCTGTTAATGTTTTTTTTCTTTTCAAGATAGTTGATGAATATTATACCATGCTTATCCCAAAATACCAATACCATAACCTTGTCAGTAATTTTTATGCCTGTCTACGCTTTGGAGTCAGTTCATTATGTGTAGTCCACTCTGCTAACTGTCGATTGGGCTCTGGTGTGAATGATGGAACCGTGTTTCATTTATTGTCACATATTGATGCCTAAAATTAAGTTTATTAGGAAGGAACAGTTATTTGATGTTTTTGGTCAACTATGAGATGGCATGGCCACCCAGTTTGCACAGAGCTTTCACATACCCAAGTATTTGTTTGTGATGTTCATCACGTTTCTTTGATATCATTAGAGTTTCAGATATCTTTATCAACTTCACTTTACAGTCATCCAAAGTTATTTAGTGGGCTTTTTTGATGTTTTTGTTAGGAACAGTCTTTTCGGGGCGTCCACTTCAATTAAGTTACTGTTGAGAAGTGGTTTACTAAGTTCAAACTTAGCAAACCACTTCTCAGCTGTCAATTTTCCTGGTGCAGAGTCAGAATAATGTTTATTAAACCAAGCCTTGCATCACACAAAATTCCTTTTTATCTATTGTTTTCAATCTAAAAATCAAAGTACTATTTCACAAACTGTCCATGTTTTTCGAATGGTATGGATAACTAAAATTCATATGGATTTATTACAAGGGGTGTCATTAATATTCCAGCCTGCAAACTTTTCCGTCTATCTGTTATATATAAAGATAATCTAGTAAGTAATATTTTTTTTTATATTTTTATTAAAATCTTTTTAACAATAAATTGAAAGTAGTTTAAAAACCAAATTTACTTTCATTAAAATATCACATGCAGTATGATTAATTAGGCCAGTGAAATTCGTTATCAAAATGCACAAGAAAGAGCATTATCAGCAGAGAATAAAATAACAGAACACACAAGATTGATTACTGAACTCACATTTAAGGTTACAAATTTATTTTATTTATTCAAGTGAATGAATGTTTTTATTTAAAATATTTTTAAATAAAAGTATATTATTTGGAAGAAAAAAAAAAATTCCTTTTTTTTTATATAGTATTTTATCTTTTATATATACAATTCAAATATTTAGCATCATTTAATGAATATAGTAATTGTTGTAACCAAAGCATTAGTAATTCAAAACTAGAGGTTTACCGGATATAGCATTTTACGTATCCGGCCGGATACGGATATGCCGGATTTAAAATTTTATATCCGGCCGGATATGCCGGATATATTAAAAATTAGGATAGGATTTAGTTTTGATGTTTGTTTTTAGTCAAATTGGGAAAGTGCAAAATAGTGTGTAAATCCACACACACACAAAAAAAAAAATTGTATTACATTTTGCATGTCTGTCTGCATAATTGGATATCTGTTTTTATTGTAGTTTGAAAATTTATTAACAATTAATTACGTAGCAATAACTTTAAAATTAGGTTGCTATCTAAATTTCCAAACTATGTATTATTACTTTAATTTTTTTGTTATGTTTTTTTATTGTTTTCTTTACAATGTAACAATGCATTTGAAATCTAACAATGTTTACATTGAAAGTTAACAATGCAATATTAATTTCAATGTAGTATTTATACACTGTATAGATATCAAAATTACCATCTGTATAATACAGATAAATATCTTGGTATCAAATGTATGTGTATAATTATTATAAACATACATTTGATACCAAGATATTTATTAAATATTTAACTATTATACTAAAATAGTTAAATATTTAATGTCAATTGTGAACACGTTTAGTTTTATATTTCAGACACATAATAATGCAGAGCTTTATCTGGTCATTGTATAAAACAAATGATGCAAGTGATGTGTATGCAAACTGTAATATCTGTAAAAAAATGATTAAATGTGGAACTATTAAGCCTGGGCAAAAATGTTTTAGTACAACACCTCTGCATAACCACATCAAAATAAATCATCCAAAAGAATATCATATAGAACGAAATAAAAATGAACAGAAAAGAAAAGCTCAGGCTGTCAATAAAATCACACCAGAGTTTTTTTCAACTAGTACTGCAGTAAAAAAAGAGACTGTTTTGGAAACTTCTAAACAAACTTCAACAGATGAATATTTAAAGTCACAAAAGGTATGGAGCATTAATGACTCTAGGTCGCAAACTATTCATCGTAAAATTGGGTTGATGATGGCCTTAGACAACCAGTCATTTACTTTAGTTGAAGATACAGGTTTTAATAACTCAATGAACCATTTAGAACCCAGATATTGCATGCCAAGTAGAAAAATTTTTTCTAAAACAATAATACCTCAACTTTACATGGAGTTAAATAATAAAATTTCTGATAAATTAATAAAAACAGATTACATAAGCTTTTCTTCAGATATATGGACATGCCCAATTTCTCATGAATCATTTATTTCATTGTCTAGCCACTCCATCGATAAAGATTTTAACAGATTTGATGTGGTATTACATGCTTCTCATTTTCCTGAAAGCCATACTGGAATAAACATATCCAAAAAGTTAGAAAGTATGTGGGATAGCTGGAAAGTTCAAGCTGAAAGACGACATATTCTTGTAAGAGATGGTGCAAGCAACATGATAAGTGGGAGTAATCTAGCTGAAATTCCCGCAATCCATTGTACTATTCATTTACTTCAATTAGTTGTTTCAGATTCAATAAGTGAAAATATTGTAATTGATGTTCTTTCAAAATGTCGTCGACTTGTAACTCATTTTAACCATTCATCTCTTGCATGTAACAACTTTAAACAAGTTCGGCTGCAACAAAATCTCGACCCTCTTTGTCTTGTTCAAGATGTCCCAACAAGATGGAACAGCACTTATCTTATGCTTGATAGATTAAACAAGTTAAAAATTCCAGTTCAACTATACTTAGCAGAACGTTCTGATTTAATGCCCTTTTCTACATTAGAATGGACATTAATATTAAACATTATTAAACTGTTAAAGCCTTTTTTCCAATTAACTCAGGAAATAAGTTCAGAAATAACAACTTTGTCTTCTGTAATTCCAAATATGTGCTCATTGAAGAAATTTATGTCAAAATGTCAAGTTGATTTAAGTATTCAAGAAACAAAGAATCGGCTTACAACTTCTTTAAAAAATCGATTTTTTTCTGAAATAAATGATGCGAAGGCTTTAAACATTTTGAAAAATAGGTACTATGTCATAGCTACTTCAATTGATCCAAGATATAAGTTTTCTTTCTTTAAGGATGATATCAAAAAACAGGCTAAGTACTGGTTAATAAATGAAATTTTATCCTTGAAAAAACTCTTGTTTGTTCTGAAGAAGTAGATTTTAGTGTAAATGAAGAACCATCACAATTAAATTTTTCAATAAATACTGAAAAAGAAGACACTCTTGAAGCATGTTTCAAAGAAATTATAAATGCAACATCTGAAAAAACATTACCTTTTAAAAAATTAAAGTTAGAGAAAAAATCAAATGAGATTTCGATTAGAAAAGAAATAAAAAAGTTTTATTCTGAACCACTTGTAGACAGAAAACTCTGTCCAATAAAGACCTGGATGCAAGAAGAACGATTCCCTCTTTTAAAAACAATTGCTTCAAAACATCTATGCACTCCTGCATCATCCATATTTTCTGAAAGATTGTTCTCAGAATATGGTAATATCTATAAGAAAAAGAGATCTAGGTTATTGCCTAAAACAGGAGAAATGCTTGTGTTTATTCACCATAATGGGAGGAAAATAGAATGACCCTTTGCATTTACTCATTTGTTGAAATTTTATTTGTTATGTTCTTTGATAGTATTATTAACTTTCTAAAACATTTTGTTTCATTGAATTTAATAATTTGATTTAAGAGGCATTCATAAAGTATGTATGCAGGTATGGGAGGCGACATTATCTAAAAATGTTTAAATATTATCTAAAAGTGTACAAGTGTGTATAAGGGGTAGGGACAAGAGGGCAAATATGCAAAGTAAGGGCAAGGTCCAGGCAACAAATATGTACATGGTTGGGCCATCTTTTTCATGAATTTTACTCCAAAATTTTTTTCAAAATTTTTATTTTAAACAAAGACAATTTATTGAGTGAAAAAATCTATAACAAAATATCAAAAAAGAAAAAAAAAAAAAAGTTTATGATGAAATTTTAAAAAAATATAATAAAAGCAAAAAAAAAAATTTAAACATTAAAAAAAAAATTTTTTTTGATTATTTTGATAGGAAATTTTTTTGCAAAACAAATTCTTTAAATTCTCAATTTCAATCATTTTAAATCTTAAAAAAATTGTTGGAAAGTTATGACTGTGTTTTTACCCCTCTCCAAATTGAAGGGGTAATAAATTAAACATGGTCATAACTTTGGAACATAAACTAATTGATGAAATTTAAAACCTATTGATGAATTTAGCTAGAGTATTAGATAGTGTAATGAAATAACTAAATGATTTCCCTTGCATTTGGGATAGGTGGTTGAGAAAATAACCTCTAAGGTTATTTTTGTTCCCAAGCTCTAATTACCATGTTTTTTTGATGCAAAACACTTTCATTTTATGGAAGCATAAAAAACTTAAGTTTAGAGTTTGCACAAAGCTTGGTGTCATATCTGAGACTTTTAAAAACATCATGTTAGAGCCCATTTAGCAGCGTGTTGGTAAACCATTTTGATTTAGAGTTCTCAAAATTAAATTTCTACTTAAAAGATAAATTACCCTCCCCTAAAAAAATGTATTTATTAAATAATTCTTAATAGTTTTTCAAACATCTTTGTGCTCTGGGAAGTTTAAATTGAAGATAGGCTTGTGACCATTAATTGATCATAAGTGATCGTAAGATTGTGATCATTAAGTGATACGTAATTACAATAGCGATTATTAAAACATTTAACGTTTGCTGTTCGGAATCAAATTTTTAGTTGAAGACTTGTTCAAACGCTCTTCATAATAACACCAGAACTTAACAGCATAAAGTATTATCCGTTATATCCAGCCGGATATAGTATATATCTGGCCGGATACCGGATAGTAAATTATCCGGTATTTTTAACCGGATATCCGGCCGGATATCGTATCCGGTACACCTCTATTCAAAACTTTCTGTTCTTAACATGCAAAAAGGTGTTCAGTTTAAACTATATATATATATATATATATATATATATATATATATATATATATATATATATATATATATATATATATATATATATATATATATATATATATATATATATATATATATACATCCCATTTCTGAATACATATAATTTGTACATCCCATTTCTGAAAAATGTTTCATCTTTTGATGCGAAAAATTGAACCAGTACTTGTTTGACATCTTCTCCATTTTTGAATTTTTTGCCCATCAAAAAATTTTGTAAGGACAAAAACAAGTAATAATCAGAGGATGCTAGGAGAATATGGTGGGTGTGACAGAATTTCCCAGCCTAATTCTGCAATTTTTTGACGAGTCCCTAAAGCAGTGTGTGGTCTGGCGTTATCGTAGTGCAGTATGATGTCCTTCCTATTGAACATTGCCGGCCTATTTTTTTGGACTGCTGTCTTTAAAGTATCCAGTTGCTGGCAATACTCTGAATTAAACTTTTAGTTTGGTTTTAAAAGCTCATAATGTATTGGTCCTCGAATGTCCCACCATATACGCAACATTCTCTTATTCAGAGTCAAATTTGGTTTAGAGCTGGAAGGGCTAGTTTTCTGGGTTCACAATATGCCCTTTTCCTTACAATGTATGTAATCCACTTTTCATCCCCAGTTATCACCCGGTTCAAAAAGGGCTTGATTTTGTTCCGAGCAAGCAGAGATGTGCATATAACAACTCGATCATCTAAATTTATCTGACTTAATTCATGTAGCACCCATCTTGAATACTTCCACACTAATCCCATCTTCCGAATATGGTCAGAAATGGTTTGCTGAGCTGAATTAAGCCTTTCTGCGATCTCCGATGTTGTCAAAAAAGGATCTTGCTCCAACATTGCCTTAACAACATCGTTGTTGATCAAAGATGGTCGCCTAGAACGTGGCTTATCAGAAAGGTTCAAATCACCTGTTGCAAATTTTTCGTACCATCTTCTGCATGTCCTATCAGAAACTGTACCTTCACCAAACACTTTCAATAAATTTTTACATGCTTCTGTAGCATTTCTTCCTTGTTGAAATTCGTATAAAATACAGTGGCGTAAATGAACTTTACCAGTCGCCATGGATATACTATCATTTCACACTTAAGACTAATGTGAATCAACTTTATTATAGTTTATTTGCTACGTCAGTACGTATACATTAAGCAATAAAAATATAGAGCCGAAGATGCAATAAATAAACATGTGCTTACGTGGCGAAAATGATGTCATAGATTTGGACAGAACTTTCCGGTAGACCTAATATATACATACATATACATATACACACACACCCAAATAAATTTTCAAAAAACAACAATATAAAAAAAGCTATATTGGAATACCTAACTGTGTTCTATATAATAAAAAAATACTGAATTAAAAATACTTTTTGAATAAAAATATTTTCAGAGGAACCACAAGGCTCTTAAACATCAGACAGGTTCTTATCATGAAAATGAAAATATTATCATGAAAAATCAATAAAAAGTATTTTATGTTGTCATATTGTCTCAAAAAAGTGAAATTACTTAAAAATAACAATCATTTTATATAAAAACTGTTATTTTGAATTTTACATATATTTCGCTTCTACCTCGAGACAAGATGCATCAAACTCTGGCTCTCCTTACTACTCGATAGATGTTTACACAGTGACCTTATCCAAAAATACAAAATCAAGATCAACATTAACTCAGTTAGTTGACATATTTGTCAACATTATCTCAGTTAGTTGACATATTTGTCAACTAACTGAGTTCATGTTGATCTTGATTTGCCTCATTCTATTTAAGTTTTTTAACAACCATGTCACTCACCCATGGAGTGCACTACCAAACGAAGTTTTCATTGCTATTAGTGTCAACTGCTTCAAAGTAAAATTTGATCAGCTAAACCATAATAATTACAAAATATCATCTTTTGTGCAATCATGCACAAGCTAGTTCAGCTAGCTGTTGGCTTACAGAAGTTGCTTGTGCCGTGTAGTTTAACTAACTATAGCTTAAAAATTATCCTTTTTTAACAAAAAATAAAAATAAAAAAATACATTTTTTCATTTTTTTTTTTAATTTTATTTCTTTGATTTGTGTTTTTATGATATTTTTTTTTAATTATCTTTGAAATTTTTATATCATTTCCTTCTTTTAAGACCCAAAATGATTTTTTCAATTAATATTAGGGACCTAATGTCTTATGTTTAAGGGTATATATTGTGTATACATATGTTAATATGTATTTGAAGATATGTGTGTGTGTTTATAAATTTTAAAAATAATCACTACTTTTTAAAAAACATTGAGAAAAAATAATTATAATTGAAAAAATCTTGTTGAATTCCCTTTTTTCGTTTTTAATTTAAAAATGCCATATCCTATTTACTTAAATATAAAATAATAATTTATTTATAAAATAATTCATATTTTTGAAATTTTTAAAAAATATTGCTTCATTTAAGACCTAACATGACATACTTTTGAAAAAAAGTATATATATATATATATATATATATATATATATATATATATATATATATATATATATATATATATATATATATATATATATATAATGGGTGTGGGGGGTACCTACTTGCGCCGACCCTGTACATACATACATACATACATACATACATACATACATACATACATACATACATACATACATACATACATACATACATACATACATACGTATGTACATACATACATTCATACATACATACATATATACATACATATATACATACATACATACATACATACATACATACATACATACATACATACATACATACATACATACATACATATATATATATATATATATATATATATATATATATATATATATATATATATATATATATATGTATGTATGTATGTATGTATGTATGTATATATGTATGTATATATATATATATATATATATATATATATATATATATATATATATATATATATATATATATATATATATATACACACTGTTGTTAAATAGATTGAATCGCACACAGAACAGCTTGAGAGGCTTCGAAACAAATACAACAGCAAGCATGACCAATGCAAAGTGATGTCAGAAGAGTTACACATCTTTAAAAGGTGATTTTAACTTTACATGATTGGTGTTGTAAATATGTGAATCTACATAATAAAGTCCTAATCTTTAGTATATAAAATGACTTTTAATCATGTTTTAGAGGATCCATATTTAGAATAAGAATTTTTTTTAGCTATTTTCAAAACCTAATTGACAAAAAAAAAAGTACTTGTTACTATATATATGTATAAACATTTCTCAAATAAAATATAGTTAATTGCTTGATAAATTTAACTGCATTTATAGATTTTTTTCAGAAAGATGCAAGACAATGAAGTATCACATCGTGAGCTACTAATGTCAATTAGTCGCAAAGATGAATCAATAAGAAGCTTACAGGTTAAGAATTTTTAATTAAGTTATGAATTGTTTTTTAAATTAAGAATTAAAATAAATTATCAGATTTTATTTATTGTTGAATTTATTTTTTTAAGATTCAATTGTTTGTTAATAATGTGTATTAAAGTTTATTTAGCATTTTTATGTCATGTTTTATTGTATCAATATATAGTGTAGTAAATTAATATTTTATTTTATAATAATGATTATAATAAATACATTACACTTTATGCAACAAAAGTAAAGTTATATCAAGATTTATTGTTAAAATCTTGAACTTTAAAAAAGTAAATTTTATTTTAAAAAGATTAAATACTTTTTAAAAAATAAATTATGCTTTAGGAATCTTTGGAAGAACAAAAAATAAATAATGAAAGAATTATTCAGCAGTTAGAAGTTGCACTTAGTGACAGCAAAAGACAGCTAGAAATTCAGAAAGAAAAAACATTAGCTAAGGTATAGATTTCTCTATTGTCTACTTTTTAAATGCTCTTTTCATGTGTATATCTTAAACTTAAAGAAAATATTTTTAGACATTTTAATCAGTATTTATAATCAGTATTTTGTTAAAGTAGATAATTTTTTATTGTTTCAAAAATTTACTATGAATAAGAAATCAAAATCATAAAAGCGATTGAAAATTTTCGTAGGTAAAATTTTTTTGTAAGTTGAAAGCTATGTAATCAGTTATTTTGAGAATTTATATTTCTTATGGCTGTAATCTTGTGATATAGTATATACAGTAAAAAAATATATAAAGTACAAAGAAATAGAAAAATGTATTTACTAAGAAAATAAAAACATCAATTTATTATAAAGTATAAATGAAACTAATCTCATATTAAATGATAATTAGTGAGTCAAATTAGTCAGCTGATTAGTGTTAGTTGTTAAATTTATTGTTATATTTTCTAAATGTGTTACTTTTTCAGTCACGAAAAACAAGTTGAATCTGTCTATCTAATATCAATTAAATTAATTAAATCTAATTAATTTAATTGATATAAGATAGACAGTTAATATAAAAATCAATGTTATAGTAGCCTAAAATCAATTAAATCTAAAGCGTTATTTTATATGTAATATAATTATGAATTAATAAATATATAATAATAAAATTAAATATAAGCCAGTTAAATCAAAGCCTTAAAATCAATTAAATCTAATATCAATGTTATAGTAGCCTCTTATCAATGTTGAAGTCTATGTAATACAGAGCCTATCAGGGATGCAAATTCCTATTGATTTTCATGGACTCCAGACTCCAGGGTTATAAAATAGGAACTTCTTAGACTCCAGACTTTTTTTTTTCAAAAACTTAAAAGAAAAGTACAACCTTAGGCTAAGGTTTCAATAAGAACCTGAAGTTTAAAAAATATTTTGTAGAATATGCGGCAAAACTTTTTACCATTTTGATCAAATGAATTTGTGAATGAATGACTTCCTTCATACTTGAAATAAATTCATCTTTGGCTGGCTTTTTTACAATCTAAACTATATAATTTTGAAATCTAACAGGATAAAAAACAACCTCTGTATTCTTTTATTTTTTACCAAATTGTTTATTAAAAATGGTATCCTTGTGTTTGGCGTTAAGGTGATGAGTCACTTTGCAATATACAGTGTTTCTTGCAAAACAAACACATAAGTATAATTTCTTTACTTTGGTGAGGATCAATTAAATTAGGCAGTCTAACAATTAAACTAAAATTGATGTCTGTTTCCAACAAATAGTAGCTATAACAGCAACGAATCAATTCAAATTGTCTAATATCTGCACCAGAAATAATCATTTAAAAAATAATTGATACACTCTTAGTCCTGTCACCCCAATAAGCTTATTTTATGAAATCAACAGATAACAGTGTTTATATTTTCTTTATGCATTTCCAGACTAGTTAAAAACTATGACTTCATACTTTGAAGTCATAGTTTGACAACACTTTTTTTGACAAATACTGACAAATACTTTTTTTTATTAAGATCATAGTTAACCTGTTAAAACAGTATTTTTTTTTTTTTTATATCAATAAAAGCATATCTGTTAGTTTAAAAAATTTCATTAGGAAAGCACATTTGAAATATACTTTCTTTTTGATTGGTATTAATGCAAGTTTAAGTGTGTAAATATTTGTGCCTATGCATAATTTATGCATAATTTGGTATCTAGCTATCAGTGTACATCAAAGGTTTTGTTCACCACATATATTGTGACTCACCTCTTATATTTTTTTAAATGCAAAGTATGCTATAGATGATATATGTTATAAACACGTTACACATTTTTGAATAGTTTATATGCCGGCAGGCAAACCATATGCAGCATAATTTAATACTTTTGTGCTCTTACAGGTTTAAAGTTACTTAAATGTTCCTTACAATCATTCCAATTTAATATTAATGTTAATTTAGAATTATTATAATGGTTTATAATTATATAATGGTTTTATATGTTATTATTTTTTTATAGAAAAAGTTTTGGTTTTGTTCTAAATTTAGTTTTTTTTTTGTTTTTTTATTTTAAATGAGGTTTTTTACTTCAACAATATATTAATTGGGACTTAGATATTACAGGAGGTCCTTCTGTTTAAGCAGTGGTTTTTTTTTTACTTTGATCTACATATTAACTGTTGCAAGGTATTTTTCCTTTTTCCTTTTTTTTCCTTTTTACATATTAATTTAAATTTATTAGAACAGTGATACATGTTCTAAAGGACACGCAGGTCTATAAAATATGAAGGACTCTGACAACATGCCTTACAATCACATAATACATATGCTATATAATTTAAAATATATATTGACCATAGTTATAAAACAAAAACCAGTTAGCCGGAACAGTATTTTTCAAAGTCGATAGAATTAACTTTAATTTTGAAGCTCTTTATATTTTTGATGTTCAGACGACAAGTTATTCCAAGTATTAACAACCTTGAGTGAGAAAGAGTATTTACGGACATCGAGTTTACATTTTAGTTTTCATAATTTGAAATTATGTCCTCAAGTGTAAATATAGTTGTTAAATAAAAAGAAACTTGATATTAGGCAAACTAAATTGTTCAGAATTTTGTAACATGTAATCATGTCTTGCTTAAAGGGATCCCTAAGTGCTCCTAACATATGATCTCATATGAAAGAGCATAAAAAAAAAATATGTAAGTTTTTTTTCTTTTTCACTAAATTGTAATAATAAATGCATGCTAACAAAAAGCAATTGCCGAAATCACTAAAAAACAACTCCATTTTGATTTTATTTTTTCACCATTGAAACTCGATTGTTAGTCGTTAAAAATCACGTTAGTACGTCACAACAACTTTAGAATATCTACTTCGATTTTCAAGTAAAAAAAAGTCGTGATTAAATAGTTAAGTTTTAATCAAGTTTTTTTAATTAGTTTTGCAAAAACAGTATAATGAAAGACGTCGTTAAAAAAAAGTTATAAGTAATAGTTTTAAATAGTTTAGAACTTATAAAAAAGTCTTACAGGGCTCGTATTAAGCGTATCGCGATCGCGATTGCTACACACACTTTTGTGATTAATTTTTTCTTAAAAAAAATCTTTTCGCGACTTATTTTTTTTTTTTGGTTGATTAATTACTTTTTTTCTAGCTCAGCATTTTTTTTAGCAATTCTTAAAAGTAATGTTTTTATCATAAAGAACGTCACACAAAATTTATTATTCTGAATAGATAGATGAATAGATGATTTGCTCTTTCGCGCGGAGATTTTCTTTCAACGTAAAACATTTTTCAATTTAAATTACTTTAAATCTCTGCGTGGAAAATTTTTACAAGGTCGTCAAAGCGAAAAGTTGGTTTTTATCTTTGTTTATCAAAACTTCATGTTTAAAATAAGGCTTACAGACGTTAGAGCAAAAAAATTACTGACTTTTATTAGCATTTTTTTACTGTTTGAAAAAAAAAACTAATAAAAAAGAATTAATATATAATTATTAATTAATATATTATTAGTTAATTCTTTTTTATTAGTTTTTTTTTCAAACAGTATAAATATGCTAATAAAAACCAGCAATTTTTTTACTTTAATGTTTTTAAGCCTTATTTTAAACATGAAGTATAATTCGATTTATTAAACCTAATTTTTTTGTTTTATCTTTTATTGGAAAACTTGGAAAAATAGAAAAATTGAATAAAAACATCAACCATTTAAATGAAAAACTTAATTATATTTAAACTTTTATTAGTCCTTTATTTAAGAAACAATAAATTATAAAAAACGTGGTATCTAAGTTTTTGACGATGTTTTTTGATTTATTGACAATAATTTTTTCCCCCCACTACCGCACATCGGCGCGAGCTATAAGAGAGAGGGGGGGGAGGAGGAGAGAGCAAAAAAAAAAAAAAAATTTTGCATTAATTCGAGCCTTGTCTTAGATTAATTTCTAATAAAATGTCTATTCAACCTTATCAATTTGAACCAAAAAAATATAGCAATTTAACATAAATGTTAATTTAACTAAAACATTTTACAATCATTTTTTTTATCAAGCAAAAATGAGAGTAACCGTCACTTTTGAAACCATAAAAACTACTGAAATAAATTTATTTTTTTACTAAGGCAATATTTTAAATAAACTTTCATATGTTTAAGTCAATATTCATTTGTTTTTAACTGACTAAAAAGAGTTTAAAATTTGACTTCTATTCATTTTTAGCCGTGGAATTGCCCTTATAACACAAATATATAAATTAATATTATAAAAAAAATTTTAATATACAAATATATTTTCACAAAATGCTACAAAACTTATTCTTGTAAGTAATTATGTGTTAGTTGAAAAAAAACGACTTTACTTTTAAATTTAATTACCAACTAATAAGTTTGCAATAATGACATTTTGTCTACTTTGTTTAATTTGACGTACTAACGTTAGTTTTTTGAGGCAATAGAGTCAATAAACTTTGGACAAGAAGCATTTTTTTTAATCGAAGAAAAGCGTTTTTTTGAAAATTAAATTTGTTAGTGTGTGTTCATTATTGCGTTTTAGAAAAAATAATATACATCAAACATTTTTTTTTTTAATGCTCTTTCATATGAGATCATATCTTTATAGCACTTAGGGATCCCTAAGTGCTATAAAGATATGATCTTTATAGCACTTAGGGATCGAAGGCGACAAATTTCTAGTAGTTCCAAACCGAGAATTCTAAGTCTATTTGAATATGAAATGTTATTTAGGTTAGAATTTCTCTTGGTAAAATGTCTTTTACTCTTTTCACGATTTGGCGACCAAGCGGGAGAGCAAAATTCTAAGATTAATCTTACATAAGTAGTGTAGGCTTTAACAGTAACATGTGGATCACGACTTTTAAAACACTTAAGGATTAGGTATCCTCGAATGTTTGATGCGCGGGCGATATTTGAAATATGATTATTGTAATTTAAGTAAGAATCCATGGTCACACCAAGATCTTTTGGGTTTGTAGACTAAGTT